AAGGTCCCTGTGCTCACTTCCAAAATCAATGATCCTATCATCTCAAAGCTGTGCAACTGATATCTGCTATTTGTGCCAGAGCTAAATCCTGAGGTAAACAGAAGATAGAGCTGCTTGAGTAATTGCGCATCCTAGAGAAAGCATTCACCCAAGGGGAAGAGCTCAAGAGTTGGTTGTCCTATTTGTCAGAATGCTCTCCAGAAGCATCTACAGAAATTGTAAGGCTACTTGGGTTTTTCTCATATTAAAAGATAAAAGAGGAAAAAATGGAGCTGTTTTTGCTGTACACTGGAGTAGGTAGGACCAAAAACATTCTACAAAGTTGCTCTCCTTCCCCTTAAGGAGGTGCAAAGAAAAATTACCTCTTCTTGGCAGAGCAAGTGAAGCAAATCAATCAACTATGGATACTCTCTTCCAATGCAAGAAAAATACATTATTTCCAGTCATTTAGACAATTACAAAGTTACTATACTTACTATAAAATTAATAGTAAGTATTAAGTGGTTTATGGAGGAATAAAGGAATGAGAAAAAACGAAGCAAAGAAAAAAAAACACCCCTAGTATAATTGAAAATTGTTTTTAAACAAAATGAGAACTGGAAACGTATTCTGAAATCAAACTGAAGGTCTGAGAAAAGGAACAGAAAGACAAATAATTGATGGGAGACAAGAGAGGTTTGTAAAAATCACAATCAGTTAATTATTCACAAGAAGCACTGCCACACATAGCATTGAAAAATATTGACTGATTGCAGCTACAGGAGGACATGTATCAGTCCGTTTTCTTTCCTCCTGTCCAAAGAGCTGCGGTTGAGATGACCAATCTCAAGGTCTTTGATTTGAAGATGGACTGTTCATTCCTGAATGCAGGATGCCTTAACCCCACCAAGCTATGATGGGAATAATACCTCCAAATTTCACTTTGCTCGAGAAAGGTTTTTACTGTTTTCCCCAATTTTAGATTTGCCATATAACATTCAATGCATCATCCTCCATCTTATAAAACAATTCTTAACAGGAATTGAGGCATAGGAAGCAAGACAAACACACATGCCCTGACTCAAATAATTTAAAAAATCACTCAAAGTCACCCTACTTTGATATGGTTCTGGGGTGATGCCAAGGCAAAGACTAGTTCTATTATTTACTTTTGTTACTCACCTTGAAGATTTAAGATGGGGTATACAATGATTAAATAAATGAAAGCTCTTTTGCATATTCACTTGTCTTCTGCTATTTCCTATAATTCTCCTTTTTTTCCTCATTTCAGTAATTGACTAAGTCATTGTTTCTCAACCATGGCAGCTTTAAGATGGGTGGACCTCAACTCCCAAAAGGCTGGGAAACTCTGGACCTAGTAGTTGTTCAGTTTATTGTAGTATTTTTAACTTGTATGAGACAATCATAATAGAAGAGAGGGAAAGATTCCAGTACAAAATCTTCCCCTTTTTACTGTATTCAGTGTTAAAAGAGCCATTTCCAACTTGGCACTCTGTAAATGTTTGGATAGTGGCTACAAGTTAGTAGGAAATCTTTTTTTTCTCCACACATGCCAGTATCAATCCAGGTGGCCTGTCCACTTACCAGTTGGTAAGGGGACACTGAACAAACTGGATAGTCTAGCAACCAAAATGAATATGATAATTGTATATCCTTTCAGATAATCCTCAAACTGCATCAGAATGGGAACCAGGCCAAACTTTTCAGAGGTCGGTGGAGGAGGAGGGGACAATATGTGGGACAATGTTAGAGTCTTACGATATTTGCAGCCTGTGATCTTCTGCCCTGAACTTTCCAAAAAGAAACAATCAGTGTCCAATATTCTTATCCCAATATGGATTATATTTCAATATAATAGCTGTGATAATGAGCAGGAGCAAGTTTGATGATAGGATGGTAGAAAGAAAAGCTCAATAGCTTTTTCTCAGCCATCATCCTTGTTTAAATAAGATTTATCTGGTTTGCCAGATATATACTGTATATCTAGGAGCGAATGTCTTTTGAGGTAATTCATATACACCTTAAAATGATTTTTTGCTCACAGTTAAAAAAACTGAGAACTTTCATGTCTCTGGTTTATAAATATGGACTCTGTTGTCCCACTAGTCAAAATTATCAAACAGGCAGCTACTTGTCTGATGATTTGTTAGTGCTTGTTTATTTACTAACTAGAATGGACTTGAACTTCTTAAACTTGAGTATGCAATATGAAGAATAATAGTGTTCTTCATGTATGCGCCAAAGCCAGTGTATTCATTATGTGGATATTTATAAAACCAATGGACAAACTTAGTTGTTGGAAAAACAAACATATCCAATCATTTGAGAAAAACAAATTGTGTTAAACATTTGCGTCTGCCGACTAAGAGGCACCAATTTCAGTGTGGCCAATAATTAGCAAGTTAATCTCTTTTTCAACTGACAAGCCTTCTCTAACAACAATTCACCTCTATGGTTGATTTTGTATTACTGAAACAAGTCAACTCTTTCATAAATACATCTAGGACAGAATTTTTTTGGCTATTCCTTAAATCCTTTATTGGGAAATCAACCTGATCTTCATCTGCTCTCTGGAATGAATATTACTTTGGATGACACTTACTTCTGTTTGAGTTTTGTAATTGCTTTTTTAACGATGCTTCCAACTAGACCTCCGAATTAGTGCATCACTATAATCCTAAGTAACAATTTGTGAACAAGTATGCAGAGGGAAAAGTGTGACTCCAAGTAAAACAGGAGAATAATGGTAACTATTTCTTATTTTAAACTAGCCTGCTGTGCAGTTTTACTAACTGCTGGCCAAATGAATTCTAAAATTAAATGAAAATGAAAGGGAGCAGATAATATGTGCAAATTAGGCTGGGATGCTATCTCAATGACCGGCATTTCCTGGATTTTCACATAGCTCAGCAACCTTTTAAGAGCCGAGCTAATATTAAGGCTAATTCAAGCAGGCTCCTAAAAAAATTGACCATGAACGGATGGATGTTCTAAACAAGGGAAAAGAGCCAAATGAGCAGAAGAAAGAATGTCTCCTTAATTGCCAGTCCCTTTGCAGGCCAAATCCAAGAAACTGAAAAAATAAAAATAAAAAGTGGGAGGGAAAGAAGGGAAGAACATTTCCAAAAAGAGCTGTTCACAGCAAATGGGCCTTTCCTGAAAAGGGCTTAAAGAGCTTTTAGAATTTATAATTGATACAAAGCTAATCTGAGATTCTGCAATGTTATAATTCTGGCATACTAGACGTTACTCTTTCTTTGCTTCTCCTGCCATCCCATATTAAGGATGGCAAGTAGGTGGAATCAGATTTCAAATTAACTTCTAACCAATCCAAAAGGAATTGCGAGAGACTGAACTGAAGTCAAGAAGTAATAAACCTGGGAAACGTAGAAATACAAATTAAACATATCAGAATAAATAATAGTATCCTGTGGCATGCTACTAAAATCCAGTTCAAGTTAAGAAAGATGAAAATATTGTGCGATCAGGCACATCTTCTGTTTCAAAGTACTAATACCTCCCCAGCAGAACAGAACAAGGCCCATGACTGTACAGAATTTTTCACTGGTTGACAATGGGAGAAAGTTCAGATAAAAATCGGAGAGATGGATGGAGTTCACCTGCCTTTCATTTCTAAGTCATCACATCTTAAAAGTATATGGCAAATGAGAAGAGGTTTTGGGGACTATATATGAGGTTATATATGAGGCTACTATGTAATGTTTGCCTTCACAAGTAGTTACCCTGCACATTCAGGCTTCAAACTACCCCACTCTGCTAAACTATCTACGTAGGGAACAAGCCTGTTTATGGCCCAAACAGTGAGATGTATTTATAAACTGAAAAGAAAAAAAAAGAGTCCATTCTCTCTTTCCCAGTTCTTCCTTTTTAGGCTGTTTCTGTGAAAGCAACAGGAACAATTTTGCAGATGTTTACCTTTTGCAAATTTATTTGCAAGGCTACATTAGGTTATTTGGCAGTAATTATGTGAAAATAAACCTAGCTGTTTTGGTTCAGGCCAAAGGAACTCAGTTAGTAGTGCTTAACTAAGGCTGGGTGAACTCCAAAATCTGACTTGAACTCCCTGATAACAATTTATCTAAGAAGTTTTTTCTTCAGTGAAAATTCCATGATGTAGTGAATTTATATAAGGATCATTCAGACCATTTATGTCATCATGATGACTGTACTTGTGGGTGAAATGGAAGATTGTTGGTATTTAATAAGTTCGGCTCCATTAAATTTATATAGTTCTGCCCCAGATTATCTCTTGTTATATCTCAGACAATAACTGAGGAACAGGTGTACATGTGTAAGCTTCCTATATAGGATTTAAAAGACGGCATAATTGGGCTGAAACACTCAGGAGAATTAAAAAGGTATCCCACAGACATAATCGAACTCCCCAAGCACCATTTTGGCAGTTTTCTTGGCTTCTAAAGACTGTGGAAGAAGTGAATAGACGCTAGACTTCTTGCCTGCTGGAGAGGCCAACTGAAGCTGCCAGTGATAAATTCAACACCTACCTGCACAGAAACCACCAAAGTTAACAACAATTCCTTTTCATTAGATATTTCTTCAGGTACATCTAATGGTACATACATTGAGAAAAAGCCTACATTCGTGAGTCCAAACAAGTGCAAAACACAGGTCAATAGTGTTCTCAGCGAACAATGGTCTTGATTCTTGTGAGAGCCTTCATACTGCAGGGTAATCAAATGTAACAGTAGATCAGGATGAGGATGCTTTCTGTTTCTTCTGAGCATATCAGTCCAACCCCAATCGGTGAAAAGGATCAATTCATGTAGACTGCAGATTTGTGTCCACCCCAATGCACAGCCTTCAGCACACCTGCTCTCATTAATCTGTATATTAGAAGAAGGCAGAGCTGAAGTCTCAAGGTTCACAGTGCTTATGGTTCCAAATATATATTCAGTTACCTTATTGCTGCCTGACCCCCAAATAAAATAAATCTCTATAATAAAATTAAGGACAACTGAGGGGAACAGACTTGTTTATTCTTACTAAATGAGATCAACACCTATCAAAATGAGCAACTAATATCAACCAAATCTTGGATATCTTCAGGAAATCCATGTGCAGAGCATAATAGGGATAGCCATTCTCTAATGCTCTGGAATAGTCAGTCTCTGTACAAAGCTATCATGGTTGATCTGCCTTTTGTGATCCTTAGTGATGGCAATCTGAAAGAATTAATAACAGGAGGGAGTTGTGGTTCAGTATTACTCCTGCAATCATAAAATCAGTCAGTACTGAATAGCTATTATGAATTGTTTTAATACAGCCTCTTTCTAAAAGAAGGATGACCCTGAATTTAAAACATCATCCTTCCCCCATTCAAAGGGGATTTTATACTAAAACCAATTTATCTGCCTCAGTTATCTTGTTCTGAGGTAACAGAACTGAAAGGAATGAGCCCTTCCATTTTAAATGTAAAGTGTTAAAAAAAAGTCTTCCTTTCAGGTAAATACAGTTGACTTCAAACGTTCAATATTTGTTTTATTAGAATAATTATAACAACAGGATAACCTAAAATACTTGTCATCAATAGGAACTTTGTTCGTATTGATAGTCAGACCTGTTCCAGGTAGTTAGTAGAGAAAAATAAATAAATTTTATCAGTGTTTGGTTTAAAAAGCATTGGCTCACTATGGGAACGATTGTATAAGTAGACAGGGGAGATAAACTTCTGAGTGCTCAGAGGCCACAATTCATGATAATGGCCTTTTGGAGGCTGCAGGAAATCTTTCAAAGACATGTTAATGTTTTGGAAAGAAAAAGTTTGAATTTTAATTCCCTTCCTCTTTTTTTTCCAGGTACTTAAGGATGGGAATAGGAGCAAAATAGCCCCAAATAAGGATGCTGAAAATCCTTGAAAAATTTGACAAATTTTTGATATACTGGCAGTAACATCCTGGACTTTCTAGGGGGACAGTGGGAGGTTGAGAACAGAAATAGAAATAGCTCTCAGTTCCTGGAAATGTCCTGCTCACACTAGTGTTCTCTAGATACATATACAAATAGGAATTGCTTCCTCTGACACTTCTGATAAAGGTGACTATGAACTCTCAAAAAATTTACTCCCCAGGCAGTCAATGTTTGCTCAGATTATAAATTGTTGATAGAATCCAAAGCACAGGAAGCACAGAAATACCCAAATGCGTACTATAAAGGATAAATTTCAAAAAAGAAAAACCAGTCTCAGAAACTTCTGATACCCCCTCCCATCTTGACTAAATTGTAGTGTGTTTTCCATTTGCAAAAGAAGCAACCCCACCATACCTTTATTTCCCAAGCTGTGATATTCAGGCCCCATAAATAATTAGATCCATCTCTGAGTGGTACATCTCCGAAAATGCTTAGCAAGGGTTTAAGGGGCATCTGAAGTGTCCTTATAATAGGGGCCAAGGCAGGCGACTTCCAGCAGTCACTTGGAACAAGGGCTGATCACTGTTGGAGTAGGGGGATAAACCAAAGCCACATTCACTCGCTCGTTACCATTCTTCGGACAGATGATCTCAGTCACTCCCTCTGGCCTGGGCTGACTTAGCAATTCTCCTGAAACAAAGAGAATAGAATATGCTAAGATAACAATTTTGCATTTTGTCTCAGGTTTAGATTCACAAAGGTGGCAAATTTCCAGTCAGCTACAGGAAGACATAGCTGAAATGTAATTGACCAGTTGAAGATAAACATAATAAAACAAAATCACCCAATATAAAGACAATGTTGTTAAAATCAGATGGCTAAAGAATTATGTCCTTGATGAAAATGAATATGCATCATTCATTCTACCTTTCCAACACTTAAAGCTTTGAAAACTCCAGACGTATTTTCCGTAGTTGTCCATTTTTGCATGAGGAAATACCAGAAAGAGACTGAAATTCAGAAGACATACAGATGTGCTCCCTAAGACTAAGGTTTAAATAAATAAACTATAATTAACAGATATGAAAAATACTGGAGGCAGACAAAATACAAACTTTAACCTTTCTCAATGTACAGAGATTTCTTAGACATTAAAATATAGTGAACTCATATGAAGCAACCCCAAATATATACTTAAGAACAATCTACTAGACAAGAACAAGGTGTATTCATGTCAAGAATATATATAAGCATCTGGCTATTTATGTTGTACTATGTTACATAGACATAAAAAAAGAATTCTATTTCTACATCTCTCCCACAAATCCCTGGCTGAATAAACCATTTAAGAAAGAATTCTGAAAAATATATTACAAGATTTTAAACGGTGAAAAATCCATAATAATATCTTCCTTTTCTAATTAAGGAATAACTTACTTGTCTGAGCATCTGTGCTATTTTATTTTTCATTTTATCTGTTCTACATAATCCCACAGCATCACAGAATTTCTGCCACAACAGTAAAGAGACGCTGGCCACATGAATTAAATAAGCCACATGTGATAAATGATAAATACATACAATCATAAATGATAAATACATACAATCATAAATGTGTCAAACTATGAAGATGAAAAATAAAACAAAAAAACAATCCTCTTGAAATACATATAAAATCAGCCTGTGACTTCATCAAGTGGCCACTGCCAAGTCTTGATATATTCTGCATTCCCATTTTCCCTTCTGTTCTGGCTTATTATATTAAACTGGCTTTCCAAATAAACTGAGAATAAAAGCTGACAAAAGTTGTAAGTAGCAATTCTGCTGCAGTGTCTATTCTTGAGGTTATTTAGAGGCATCCAAGCCTGCAATTCCATATTATGGAAGAAAAGGCCACATATGGAGTGTGGACTCAGCTCTCCACAACTCTCAGCTGTTCTTTAAACTAGATGCTGTGCAAACTAGATTTCAGAGATGCAAAGATAAGCATGACAGCATATAAATGAAAACCACAGAAATCTTAAGAAAGGTAGTTGAAACAAGGTTGGGAGTGTCCTGCATGATTTTATAAGACTTTATGTAAATGCCACTGTATAAAATGTTTAAAATGCACAATAAATTAAGCAAAACAGTGTCCAAATGGTTTGTGTTGTACTACTGAAACAGGTAAGGAAGTATTCCTTAATTATCTTCCACACTACCATGAACCATCTCATCTCGCCTGCCTGTTTGCTTTCTTTTCTTTCTATTGCAGAAAATGAAGTTAATTATGAAAGAATTATATAAGCTGTGGATGAGATACTTTACCACGAGTATCTCTCCTTAATTGTTTGTCAGGGATACTTGGAGCTTTCAGTAGAGGCCAGTTGTTTGAAGTAAAAAAAGAAAGATCTTTAGTGGGTTGTTTGCAAATGTGTTTAGTTGTTCACAGAACATTTGCTTGCAGTATAGATTCTCCCTCCTGCACTTCACATTCTACAAATCTGATCTGAAACATTGGGAAATTCTCTGAAGCATCTGTTGGTAGCATGAGGAGGGAAAAGCAAGGCCAAATCCCATTGCGCAATCAGAAGTTCACTTGCATAATATCCAACATGTCATTCGGTGTTTTAGTTCTTAAGAAATCTGTTCCTAGAGAACCGCATTAGTGCTTGTCCTAGCTTGTCTTCACATAACATTATTATTAAAGCAAGTTTTATATCTGAATGTGTTCTCAACATTTTCTTTTTCTCAGCCAGAACATTTACTGGTTTAATTTTGTATTCTTTTTATGTTCATCAACTGAAGCACTTGTGGTTTTAAGAAGAAAATTGAATTGACATATATGTCTTCTTAACAACCGGTTCATAGGGAAATTCATTACAGTTCAGTTCTCATTAATGTGTTAGATCAGTCTGGACTAATGCTAACCCACGAGATACTTAAGAAAAAATGTCTAACTCCATTCTAGTTGTCTTCAGCGCCAATAGAATATTGTCTTCCAATAGCGTGCATTCTTTTTATATGTAAAGTTGTATTTTATTCATTCCTATGAATGATAATTCACAGTCCTTTAAAAAAAATAGGCCAAAATTTTGTGCTTGCCCCATCTCATTGCATTTAACAAGGTCACACAAATCAGTAGAAATAGTTTCACAATGCAAATAAAAAGGTGACAATTTGAATTTTAGGAAAAAGCACCTCAACATCCAACACCTGCAAAATAAAAGATTGCCACAGAAAATAAACTTCTTTGAAATTTTATAGATTACCTTTGCCATATTGAGTTCCAACATCATCAAATAAGTAACATTTGGAAAGTAAATCAATATATTTGTGAACTTTTTGTGCCTGTAAGTACAGATGCAATTTTCATGTTTAGGTCAAGTATTACTAGATGTGCATTATTTATTACCCAAATTGCTTGCATGCAGCAGCAGCTTCTACAAGCATTATTACAAAGAAGAACTGAAAGGGGAATGCAGTTGTTAAGCTAAAGGAACAGTGGCAAAATACACTGGATTTCTCAGAGGAGGATCCAGCTTTTGATTGCACAGAGATCAGGCACTCTTAGCTAAACCCATCACTTCAAATGGTATTCAGAATTGGCTATAAGTTAAGAGAAGAATCAGCATCCATACTCTAATTAACTACAATGTATAATCACTGAGGAGCAAGATAGTTTATAATTCCAGAAATTGCACTAAAGACTTACTAATGCCATTCAAATGAGCTGGGATTATATACAGTAATATATAATTCCTATTCTAACCAGCATAAACAAAATACAAATGACTCGAAATTATGCAAGCTGTGGTCTAATATATTTGGAAAGGCCAAAAAAAAAAGTACACTGTTTAAAATGACTACCTCTTATCCCTCTCCTCACCATTTCTACCCAGCTAAAACATAAGTGAAAGAAGGGAAGAAAATTTCTTATGTTTATTTATACATTTTCCAGTTATTACAACATTCTACATATGTATCTACCATTTTTCCACATAGGTTTGACAATGTTGCTATGATTAAATTGAGGTTGGCATCTATTTCACTGGCACCAATTTCCTTCTACTTTTATATTATTTTTATGGAGAAATAAGGCAAAATAGAGTAGGATAAAGGATCCTTTTTATAGTGTTACATTCATCCCATTTTTGCTGATAGTAAACTTATTTATCAGGTCTTGTATTATTTTAAGGCAAGAATTTGCGAAGATGCTTAAATAACTGTCAGTTCAGGGTTCTTCAGACTCATCATTTCATGAACATGATGAATGGGTTTATCCTAACAGGCTAAGCCTCCAACAATTTGGTTTTCTTAATTACCATGGACAGAAATGCCAGATACTGTACTAGCATGCTAAAATACAACTTCTGAGCAATATATACTGCTCCAAATGAAATAGGTACAACTTCCAAAATAACTTATAGAACAGTACATCTAGATCAGGGGTCTTCAAACTTGGTCCTTTTATGACTTGTGGACTTCAACTCCCAGAATTCCTCAGCCAGCTTGCCTGGCTGAGGAATTCTGGGAGTTGAAGTCCACAAGTCATAAAAGGGCCAAGTTTGAAGACTCCTGATCTAGATTCTGACAAACTGATCAGAGCTACATGCAGGGTCCGGTTTGCACCTGACCAGCTGTTCTTCCTGCCAGGAAGCTTAACTAATATCTGAAAAAAGGAGTCCTGGTTTACAGCTCCAAATACTTGATGGCACATTCCAAAGTTGATGTGTTAAAATAAATTAAGTCTATTTTTGAATGCTATTCATTTGGGAAACACATACAAGGCACTTTCTGAATTGTTTAAAGTGTAGGATATATGACATAAAATATTTATTCAGTGCCCTAAACAAAAACAATTGCTGAAATTCTTCAGTAAAAATGGAAATACAGTTTGCACTAATTTCAAGAAGAAATGGAAGCAAATTTGATTTTGGTTTTTTTTTTGTTTTTAGCGTGGTGATAGTTTATGTGATGATTTTTTGTGTATGCGTAAGGCAAGGCTTCAAAAACTACAACTGCTATCAAATATTAGCTTACTTTGCCCCTTAACGCTCCCCACAAATGAATGAAATCATTCCATTTTAAGGGAGGAATTTAAAGAATTTAAAGAAAGCTTAGATTAATTTTACCCCTTAACTCCCCAATAAAATAATCTTTTTCCCCAAGTATTCTGAGCCCTGAAAATGGGATAAAAATAGGGTTTTTGACATAAGAAGCACATATGGCTCACTTCTGATTTAGAGAAGCTCATCTGTTCAGCTACTACCACATCACATTAAATTGTAATGTGGTTTGTCTGCTTTTGACATATCCCAATGTGTAAAGTCAAGCAATGTATTTGGTAAGCCATAATTTATGTCTTAATCTCATCTGTGAACCAGTCCACTGTGGCCATTTAACAAATCATGGTTGAAACGAATAGCAGCTTATCATTTTGTGCAAATTATCAACTTTTAAATAAGAGCCTGCATTCACTATCTATATAGGTATATGGAACAAATCAAATTCAAATTTAGAAGATAAAGTACAAAATTAAGAATCAAAAATTTCCAATAAACATTAAAATTCTTGAAGAAGTTGATAGGTTAATTACATTTAATTTTAGTCAACAATCTCCATTCTTGCAAAATAAAATCAAACTGAGTAAGTGATGAGACACTTGAATGAGGAGAGATTTCAAAGATTGTTTCAAAGTTAGTGAAAAG